TATTTATTTTTGAAAAAGAGAGAGAGAGAGAGAGAGAGAGAGTGGGGGAGGGGCAGAGAGAGAGGATGACAGGATCCAAAGCCGGCTCCAGGCTCTGGGCTGACAGCAGCGAGCCCGACGTAGGGCTCGAACCCACGAACCTCGAGATCATGACCTGAGGCGAAGTCGGACGCTTTACCGACGCAGCCACCCAGGCGCCCCAGCCTCTTCTTACTCGCTTAATGACAACTTGAGTAAGGGAGAGGCCAGGAGAGACAGGCAGTGAAAAACACAGGCTCGGGGTGGGGGACAAAGCGGTTTCCTACCATCCAAAGGCAACGTGTGTCCGGGGGTGTCCTCGTGCACCTCCCCTGCCACCTGGGGACCTAGAACACCCGAAGGCCACCTGGCACAGCAGGGGAGATACGCCAACCCCCCTTTCCGCCAAACTGATGGGAAATCAAATGACGCAGGGAAGTTTTTCGAAGGGAAAAGAAGAAAGAGAGCGAGAAAGACAACATTCGATCTCCCCCCACCCCCGCGGAGGCTGACATCACTGTCTGCCAAGCAGAAATTGCCTGCCTTTCTCCAAGCCAGCATTCTGGAGCTGTTTTCTGATTATTTCAATCAGCCTAATAACGTGTACGTTTGAGACAGCTGCCTCGGCGGCGTGGAGGCTTTGGGTTTTCTGCTGGCTCCTGTAGGAACATAATTGGTGCTCCCCGAAGTTCATGCGCGCTAGGGACAAGGGGTTTGGGTGGATTTCCTGACCCCCAAATATAACCGTCCGAGAATCTGGTTCTAGGTCCAGCCGTCTTTTCGCACAGACCGGCTGGAGTGGAGGCCCCCACCGCCGTGTGTAGCTGGAGCCCTGCCATGCCCGGGCCAGTTTCCTTACCGACGTCAGAAGCTACCAGCACGGCCATAAGCCTGTACAAGAGCAGAGAGAGGGCACAGCTCATTCAGCACTGCGCATCGTGGGCGACGGAGCCCAGAGAAATAGGTGCCATTCACTGGACCGTGCTTAAGTCAAGGTAGCTCCCGAGGCATCCGAGGTCAGAACAAGGCTCCGATCAGGCTAGAGAAAAACTTTCAGAATGGCATCGGAGAAAGTTAACCAATGTATCATATGGCACTACATTTATTAGAATAACACCCCTCAGATTCTGAGTGCCCGCTAATGCTCACAACAAGTAACGCAGATATTACAATCACCATGTTCACTTCGGAGATGTGGAAACCCCTTCTGTGAGCTCATTTGTTTCTGCAATTGCAAACGCTCTGTTCTCTGGGCCTCTGCGTTTCTCAAACACATGCAATCCTAAATAGCCCTTAAAAGATCACGATCTTTAGAAAACAGCGCAGGAAGGGGCGCCTGGGCGGCTCAGTCGGTTAAGGGTCCAACTTCGGCTCAGGTCATGATCTCCCGGTTTGTGGGATCGAGCCCCACATCGAGCTCGTTGCTGTCAGCCCAGAGCCCGGAGCCGGCCTCGGATCCTCTGTCTCCCTCTCTCTCTGCCCTTCCCCCGCTCTCTCCCTGTCTCTCTCAAAAAGGAAATAAACGTTAAAAAATTTTTTTCAAGGAGAAACAGTGCAGGAAGAGGTCCATCTTCCCGGATGCCTAACTGATGGGAAGGGGTGGATGAGACAGGAGGCTGCCTTCTGGCTTTAGGTGCAGGTGAGCTGTTCCCCCAGGGACCCCTCCCAGCTGCCGCACCCACCTCCTCACTGGTCAGGGGAGCACTCTTTTTCTTCTTCTTCTCCTTCTTCTTGTTCTTCGTGTTCTTCTTCTTCTTTTTTTTTTTGGCTCTTCTGTCCCCAAGTGGAAGTTTCTTTCTGACACCTCTGTACACACCCACAAGTGGGCTAATATCTTGCTCCTTGGTTGCAAAACATTATCAACAGCTGAACTGTCCTGAATATTTCGCGGTGTTCATCATCCTGCAGTTTTTCAGAAAATGGGGAGGAGGTTGTTGCGGAGCCCGGCAAAGCGGATGCCCGCTGCCCACCGCGGGGGGCAGAACAGCAATCACGCAAGGCATTCATTGAACATGTCCGTCTTGAACTCCACAGAACTCACAAAACCGGCCACGCCAGCAGGCAACAGTGTCCTGTCCTCCCTGAGCAGAGCAGAGCCTTTCTAGAAGTCACTATAGGGGCAGGGTTACAGAACTAGGATTCTAATCAGCCCCCAAAAGTGTCTCATCCCCGTCACTTTTGCTACC